TACACACACGGCAGGGAACGCGCGCTCGCCACGCGCACACGCAGCATAGCCTAATCAATCTTCCGGCATGAACTATCATTTATTCTCAACACAACTGTTTAATCTATCTAAGGTGTGATATCTGCATTGTAATTTACAAAGTGAGGTTAAATAATTAGGCTTCACCAGACTACCACTCATCCCATTCACACTGTGCCTTTACAACGTTCTCTCGCAACCGATCTCCGCCCAGACGATTTCTCACAGAAGTCTTGTCATAGTTCGTCACTGTGCAGAGTTTCTTCTGATAAAACACTTGATGTTATTGCAACCCTGTGGAGAGCTCTGCTTTTGAATCCAGAGAGCTCAAGATAGAGAAATACGTCGATGTGGGAGGAGGATTTGTTGTGTGATTTAGAGATAAATACCCCTCTAAGCTGACATGTTAGTGGCAATAAAGCCTAAATCTGACTATATCTGACTATAACTGACTAGGATGATTCAACTTTTCTTATTTTACAACATTTTGTAGAGTGTAATCAGTTTTTTATATTCACTGAGTAGCACTAATAACAAGGTAACATAACATACAAACAGTGGTGTTGTTAGGATAAAACAATGCACCTATTTATATGCTCACTGGCCAGTTTATTAGGTACACCTTCCTAGTACTTCGCAAGTTGTAACCTTTGATCAACTGTACTGCAGCTTAACTCAAGATTCATCCGACCAGGAAATGTTTTTCCAGTCTTCTGTTCACCAATTTTGCCAACCCACTGTGGTCTTCTGCTGCCTTGGCCCATCTGCTTCAAGGTGTCATGTGTTATGCATTAAGAGATGCTCTTCTGCATACCTTAATTGTAAGGAACAGTTATTTGAGTTGCTGTTGCCTTCTTGTCAGGTCTAGCATCAACAAAACATCTTATTTCATTGTTATCAGACCATTACCTTCTTTGTAAACCTGAGATGTTGTTGTTTCTGCAGTTTCTGAAATACTTAGATCAGCCTGTGTGGCACCAACAACTGTGCCACATTCAAAGTCACTTAAATCACCTTATTTTCCCCCATTCTCATGCTCATTTTGAACTTCAGGAGGTCTTCTTAACCATGTCTACATGTCTAAATGCACACTGAGCCATGTTGTTTGCTGATTACATATTTGCATTAAGAAGCAGTTTAGCAGGTATAGCTAATGCTGTGGCCGGTGAGTGTATGTTTGAGGTATATAGGTTGCAAAATTAAGTCATCTTTGATAATCCCTTTAAATGAAGTGTAGGTTTCCGTTAGCACTTACCTTGCACAAAATGTTTACACTGGAGTTTGTGAGCTGCAATCTAAACTCTAATCCCATTTTCTCCTCAAGCGTCCATTAAAAATCACTCACACTAAACATGTTCTAAAAATAGTTTTAACTGAAGAAGATGGTTGTGTTTTAATGGCTGGAGGCTTAGCTGGTGCCTGCGTGCTCAGGGCTGCTGTCATTTACTTATGAGATTTATTCCCTAATGATATATACAGTATGGCACAGTAAAAATAGCAAACTGGTGAATGTAATGATGGTACCTGATAAACAATAGGAGACAAGTGGGGTTTAGAAGTAATCAGGTCAGATAAAGTTAACAGCATTTAAGGCTACAAATCTTCAAGTATCTTCTGGTGTGAGAAGGTCACCAATGTAATCAGAGCCCCTCTGACCCAGCTGTTGAGCTCCATTTGAAGTATTAAAGTTATATTACAGTGGTTAGAGCGGGAGAAAGGACTTCTGCTAAAAACACCTGCGATAACCCAAGTTTGCTAACTTTGTAAAGTATCAAAAGTATGCCTCCAAAGTTGAAAACAACCCTTTGAAATTGGGTCCTTTTGGAGAAACTTTTATTCCAGTCGATCTCAACTCTCTGTCTCCAAAACAAAGCCTGCTGGCCGGAAAGCTCAGAATGATTCTGACAGTTACTCGACTTGCGGAGTGAAAAATAAGGAGACTACTGCGGCTGTGCTTCCTACAATTCAGAAACATATTAAAAATTAAGTTGTTTTTATCCTTCACAGATTTAGAGAAGGTCATGGCGCTTGTATCTTATCTTGTTTAACTGTACGAGTTGCCCACGCATCTGCAGCTTGGTCAGGAGGACTTTTTTTCTGCTGGAAAACTGAGTGCTAAATATTCAGAAGTAGACCTGGCACACACAAATGTAAATGTACCATTCCTCAGATGAAAAGTCACTTTGTTTTTGCTTTTTTCATTTATTTTTAAGCTCATACTACCAGGATTGGGAATGTTGGTTGCAATTTAAACTTTTGGGAATGATGCTAGCAGCACACATTTCTTCTCTCTTAAGTAATCTCTGTCCATCAAATACTGAATTGCCACCTAGGCAGTTGCCCCAGGATGCTACTTCAGCCTCCAACCCCCCCACGTTTGCAGCGTGTCAATTGGGTTTCAGTAATTGACCAGTTGCTAAATCCCTCCCCACATGGCTACAACAGCTGTCGTGTAACTATTAGATTTCTTCACATGGTGAAGCTGTGTTCACTGTATGCAGCCTTGTTTTGTTTTAACAAAGAATACAGTAAAAGTTTAAAAAATGATTACATTTCCTCTTTTTTCTGCGCTAAAATTCACCTTCAGCAGTTAAAATAGTAAGCTAACAAGCTTGCTAGCTTAGCAATAAAAATGCAATTACATGTGTCATTTTATATGATCTATCCTTTAAAAGAAGCCAGTTGGAAATAATAAAAATCTACCAGAAAAACCATTCAAACCAATTCTTGGCAGTAACATGAGCTATATTGATATATTAGCCAATAAACATGTTTGCTTATTGCATTTCTTCTATTGGTCACATGCAACAAAAGATGCAGAAGTGCTTTTTGAGCTTTCTCAGAGTCCAAGTACCAAATTTGTTTTTTGCAGACCATTGTGTTTCTAAGACGTGGCCTCCACCAGTTTTGATTGGCTATAATGGACAAAATATTGTAAACATTAAAAGTACAATAAATAGTTTACTCCTGCGAGCCTTGGTCTATTTTTTTCCTCAAGATTGGTGAAAATTGTGCCACCTGTGAACTGGATCCTAATAATATACCATCCTATAGTGCTGTAATCTCATTGTGATCCAAGTAACACGATAACATACCATCCTATAGTGCTATAATCTCATTGTGGTCCAAGTAACACAATGACCCATCATCTTTCAAAAACATTTTTTTCCCTGTCCACTTCCACATTCTCTGGCAGAATGTGAAATTTCCAGCTTTTTCTCGTCTAAAATGAAAGAAAAGAAATGGAGAAAAGTTAGCACAATAGTAGCACGGCATAGAAGTTTATTGATTTCTGGCATCTTGTTACAGTAGATAATAATTTCTTTATATATTTTACATTGTTCTCGATAGTTTTTATTTCTTCCATAAATAGTGGCTTAACAGTGACCCAAAGACTAAAACAGAATCAGTTCTAGTTCTGACAAAAATATTGTTAATGATTTCATAGTTAAAGAATACAAAACCATAACATTTTGAATATACAATTTGTCATGATGTTAGCCAAGCACAGTCCATCCAACAGTGTTTTGTAAATGCTTTAAGATGCGTTTCAAAAGCACGATTGCACTGCAAAATCATCGGCTTGAACGAAACCCCAGATTATGCCTCTTATGCTTGCCTCGTCTGGTGTATGTCTCCATAATACATGAGATACAAATTGCACTATATTCCATGTGAATCACCAGGCAACAGAAACACTTCACTTTGAGTACATCTCTTACTTTGGGGATGTGTGTTGTGTCGTATCTAGGACCCCGTGCTACACGTTATACTTGTCAAACAGCTGTTGAAGTCCCCGAGAGACCAAACAACCACTTTAACTTGTCAAATGGCTCGAGACATCGTGAACGGCGTTTATCCATAATTACTTTCAGTCCATTCTTGTCTGGGTAATTCTGTGTATCCCTGAGCCACAACATTTTTTTTTTTTTAAATAGCTTTCAAAACCTCTTGATGGCTGTTTCCATAATGGCTCCATCATCTCATTTGTATATGCACTTTTGATGGCATAATAGACACCAATTATTGGCAATGTCTCTAAACATGAAAACAAGGAAAAGAAAAAAAAGAGCAATGCAGGTAAACGTATTGCCATCTCTCTCTTTTACATTCATGAATGTTATTGTTTGTTTGTTTTTTGCCAAAGTTAAATGAAAAGGCATGAAAACGCCATTTTTTGACTAAGCTCATTCGTCATCTACGAGGCAGAAGGGACAGTGCAAACCAAAACCAAAATGAGTCATGGCTTGCTGGGAAACCAGTGAAACCAGTCACACATTATTGCATGCACACGCTGCCTATTGAGCTACAGCATTATAATCTAACATCTTAAGCACTCTGCATTTATCTGACTTCAATCTACTTTAGAAACAGTCCGTAGATTGATGTGATATGTAGAAATGTACAGTTTTTGTTCTCTTTATAAGGCATGCCATTGTGATTCCTTTCTCAGCAGGTCACAGCGTCTGTGTCACAGCTGGAGTTGCTGATAATGCTGCAATCCTCTGTAAGTGTCCCCGGACAGTTTCAGAAGGCCACGGGTCGCCTTTGCACAGCAAAGCAAACAGTCAAGCGAGGCTCTTCACACCGGAGGGAGGGTTTCACTTTATTATACACCTGCAGCTTCTTCACATGGGTTCAAATAATAGTCGATAAGATTTGGAGCCTGCGAAATGAAGTTAGCTACACAGAGAACACAGCGAGGGAAATTCAGGTTTGTAAATGAGTGGAAAAGATTTGTTGTCGCCCAAATTAAATCAGCTCGAAAAACAGAGGGAACGTGCTTCTTCTGAAGACGGGATTCAAAGCATTAAACTGCGAGTGATATTCTCGGCTCTGAAACTTTAGTTATATTTGCCCACACACTTTTGCAATAAGCACCCGCAAGTTGCAAGTGGGAAATTTTGGCTCCCATCTTTGGTCTGGGGGAAAAAAAAAAACACACACACACCAAAAAAAACAAAAAAAACCCAAAACAGGGCCAATATTGATTTTTTATTTAACATCTGCAATTTTTTGCAGTTTTCTGAGCCCATACTGAGGATCCACAAGCAGTTTGGGTTTCTCCAATTCAGCTGGCAAAGGTTCATACTAACATCTTCTATCTCAGACTTCTAATACCGTCTTTTGTGATATAAATGTCGTCTTTCTGCGTGAAAGAGCTGACCGTAAAATATAAAATATGTATGGTGTGCAGCGCAGCCACCATTTGAATGAAGCTGGTATTTTTATTAAGCACAAGCTGCACATACACAAAAAAAATACATTCATTTAACCATCTGTTGTGTGACACTAACTTTGGTTCATAGAAGACATCTTAAGTTTGTTAGAAATCATAGGATGGTGTGTTGATATGTGTGCGTGTGTGTTCCTGAACACAGTACACAGTGAAACATATCAAACACTCTCACCTTAACACAATTAAAGCTAAAGTGCAGAGGCTTTGTTACAACAACAACAACAGGCATACAGTAAGTGACTCCTAAACACGCACTAATCAGATGACTTAAAGAGCCTTTCGCCTACCTGAATAAAATATGTTTTGCTGCCACCTGGTGGTCACAGTGATAAATTATTTGAGCCTGGATTTACACCCAAGTGTGGAACTTTGTTTGCACCACCGTTTTTTTTTTGTTTGTTTTTTTTATTCTTTTGTTTTTTGCATAAGTCATCTGTAAGGAAAAAAAAATCTGGTTCTTATCTCAAACCTGTAACATGCTTAAACTTCTTAGAAAATAACTGAGATAAAAAGCTGAAATTCTGACTTACAGATGACAAAAAACCCCTTTTTTCAGTGGCAGAAACAAGCTTCCATACTAAAGACATTTTCATTATGAGAAAAACAACAGATGCATGCCTACTGCACAACACATAATACTTAAATTGGACCACATTACAGCCACCATGTTCTACTTAAAATATCACTTCATTGGCCTCTTTAGTCGCCCTCTTTTAACTCTGACATACATTTTATGATAAATGTTTTCAATCGCCGTCTAAACATACACACGAAGCAAACTCACTAGTTAATTAAAACAAAAAAAAAGTTCAAACTCTTTTAGAAAAAAAAGACTAACCCCACATGGAGTTGTACTGACATCAGTTACCGTGACAAGGAGTCACCTGAATTGGAGCATTTTAACAAATTCACACTGCGCACAGTACTCAGTAGCTACCTTGAGTTCTGTTTCAATATTACATTTACTAACATCTAGTTTTAAGGCAATCAGATATGGCTATGCTTATAGCACAGGAGTCACTGTTTGTGCATGCTCATGCATCTGTCTCTTTTTTTGGATGGAGACGAGTACGCGTGTGAAACTACTGCACTGTGAAATTCTCTCATGATTTACTGCACGTGTTATAGTTTTTTTGCCGGGAATCGCTTGACTAATAAATGATTGTGTATTCAGAGTGTGTCCGGAAGTGCTAAAAAACCCCAAACAAACAAAAATACAAACACAGTAGCTGGTATGTAGAGAAAAATGGTGCTGTTGCACTTATCCTTACTCACTCATGGGAGCTCAGACTGTGCATTAAACGGCAGATGATGACATCAGTTTAAGTTTAAGTTCAATTCTAGTGAAGAGGAGGCAGTGCAGTTTTCTTGTCACACTCTTTTTTTTTTTGGGCAAAAACCCTCCATATTGAAGTGCCACTCTGACACTCTGTTGCCTTGTAAGAAAAACATCTATTTGTGGAGTCATTTCTTTGTTTTTCTGTGTGTGGAAATAGTTTCAGTAGCATAAAGCTGCCTTGCTACTGCCAAAAAAGAATATGCCTCCTGGACATTTAGGGTCAAACGTAGATGCCTTCAGGGTTGAGGGTGGACGAGACGGCGCTCTGAAGAGCACGAAGGTCACTGGGTAAGAGACGGGAGGAGCCGAGTCGTTTCAGGGAACCGCACTCCGTCTCTGCAGCACACAAAAAAGAGAAGGTCATTTAGCTGTGAAGGGTATGAACATCACTGATATATGATTCTGATCTGACATCCCACAAGTGATTAAGTATCAACTTTAAGTAAAATGACTTCTTTTACAAATGGGAAAAAAACTATAGCATTCTATGTGACAGCAACCCAGAAAGAGGAAGATGCAAGGAAAGAAGACGACGATGCTAAGGAGCAGCCAAAAGAAATAAAGAAGACAAAGAGAATGGAGAAAGTTTATGTAAAAAACGATGTGATTAAAATAAAAACAGAGGATTTTTCTTTGGCTTAATATTGAGAATTCCATTGCTGGTCCATGTAATGGGGCAGTCCTGCCTCACGTAGTCTAACAGGTCATTCTCAGTATGACCATAAGGTGGCACTGTGTCCATACACATCTAAAAGCAATACAGTATGTAGAATGCCTCAGCTGCAATCAGCATTTACAGTAAAACTAAACGCTTTCAAGAAGGTGGTGATCTTGTAGAGTTTCTGTCAGTGTGTACGTGTATTTATACCGCTGCTGATGTCTTCTGATGGTTCAGCCGGCAGCACAGTGACCTTGGTACCAGTCTGCTGAATGAACTGCTGTAGGTTGACCTGTCGAAGCTCTTTTGTCAGCTGCTCCAGCTCCTGCTCTTTCTCCTATAAAGGAAAAAAAACACCAGGATAATAAAATGAACTGTATGCCTAGTCGGATAAAAGTACTGCACATAAACAAATCCACAGCTTACCAAAGCTTTCGAGTGCAGGAAGTTACTCTAATGGAGGTGAATTTATTAGGTCAAAATGAAAAAAAGATTGATGTTCTGCTCAGGATCTCTCCAGAGTCATAGTGTAGTTGAGCCAGCCAAAGAAAAGTATCAGCTCACAGATGATTACACAACTCCAGGCAGGGGATTGCGTACTTATTCAGGCCCCTCTCTAATCAGGCAAAGAATGCTGCTAATTCCCTCCCTCCCATTCCCTTCTCGTTACCTCACGCTTCCCACATCTTACTGGACTTCACCCTACTTCATACTAGGATGCATGCAGGCAAAGATCCATCGCACATTGCTGCGAGCCAGAGATAAGGCTTTGCTTCACTGCCCACAACTTAATGAGCTTAGATTTCTATGGTTCCACCTGTGTGCTGAGGACTAAATTTTTAAACCAGCGTCAGCGGAGCCAAAGTTTTCCGACTTCTTAATAAGATTTTTTAAAACACTTTCTTGAAATCTGAATTCTTCAGCCTCTTCTAAAGTTAATGGGAACACAATATTTTTTAGCAAAATGCCAGGATGGGCCTCTAAAATAAACAACTAAACAGTTGAGCTGACCTGTAATCTCTTGCCTGACTGGCTGAGCGAGCGTTCCAATGCCCTGCAGCTGTTCTCCAGCCGTGCTGTTTGTTGGCTCTGCATTTCCAACTCTGCCCTCACTTTCTCCAGCTGGGCTTGTACCTGAAAGCCAGAGTGGAAGGGAAGTCAGGAAGCCAGCGCTCATCGCAATTTTCCAGGAGAAATATGCAAAAGAAACTCAACCATGTAGGAAGACTTTTTCATGCTTTGACATGTTTTGAACTTGAATAAAAAGTTTTTTAGCTCTGCAAAACTATTCATCCAAGTTTAGAACACGTGTGTCGGTTTAACAAAACATTTTTCTCAACACAACTTTATTTAAATAGCATCAAAACACAGCAGCAGTTGCCTCAATGTGCTTTATATTGTAAGGTAAAGACAATAATACAGGACAAAGATATGGTGTGGAAGAAAGACCGATTAATAAAAACTAATGACTAAATGCAAAGTGGTGTATTAAAACATAGTAAGTGACAAAGGTGACCGAAGAAGAAACGCTCAGTGCATCATGGGAATCCCCCAGCAGGCTAGACTAACTGCACCATAAGTAAGAGAGGATTCAGGGTCACCTGATCCAACCCTATATGCTTTATCAAAAAGTTTCAGAGTAACATTTGAGAGTGAAGTGCTCTGTTGGAGTGATACGGTACTATCAGGTCATTAAGATAAGATAGGGCCTGATTATTCAAGACCTGTATGTGAGGAGCAGGGTTTTTAATTCGATTCTGGATTTAACTGGGAGCCAGTAAAGGGGAGCCAATATAGGAGAAATATGCTCTCTCTTTCTAGTCCCCGCGTCAGTACTCTCGCTGAAGCATTTTTCGATCAGCTGAAGACTTTTCAGAGAGTTTTTAAGACATCCTGATAATAAAATAATCCAGCCTAGAAGTAATAAATGCATGAACTAGTTTTGAAGGAAATATCCTGGTAAAAAACCACAGCATGAGTCCTCACAGTGTTACTGGAGGCCAGGGTAATGCCATCCACAGTAAGTATCTGTTTATGAGATCGGTAGAATGTCCCAAATGTTAATTTTTCAATGACTGCACCTCTTCCTCGTTGACCCTTTGTTTCAGCTCAGCCTCGTGCTGCAGTCGCTCCTGCTCCACACCTGCCTCCATGCTCTGGAAAGTAAATAAAAATCTCATTTTTCCCAGCTTCCTTCTTCAGTTAAAGCAGCGTGTTTGTGTTTTACTGACATTTATAGATAAGAGGTTTAACTCGTAAAACCATTAAAACAGGATCTGGTGAAATCAGGCAGCTCGTGATGCTAAGTTCACCTGTATGCGAGCTAGATACTCCGAAAGCTTGGCTTCACAGTCGCGTACGTGGCCCTGCAGCTCGGCTAGCTGTTGCCGCAGCTGCCACTCGCTCTCCTGCTCTATCTGCAACTCGTTCTGCCAGAATTCCTCCTCCTCCATCTCGGCGTCATTCCTCCTCACCTGCTGCTCTAAAAGCAGCAGCTCTTCCTCCAGGTTTCCTTCCTGTAAGGCATGGGATTAAAATATGATGTAGGGATGTAAAAATAAAGATATTGGAAGACATGAAAGTTTAGGGTGCAGACGATCTGAAGATCAGCACATATGCAAAGTTTCTCTCAGTGACTTCACTGGCAGCTGTGGTTTTACTCACATCGCTGGCCTCGCCTGTGGCCTCCTCCCAGTCTCGCAGCTCAGCCTCGCAGCCCAGCAGGCGGCTTTCCAGGGCCTGGAGTTTGTTTCTCTGCAGCTGCACCAGTCGGCTCAGCTCTCTGGCCGGACTCCCAGGTACAGATGCTATTCCACCTCCTCCAACTCTGCTGAGGTTTAAACTCACACCGCGCTGCTGGGACTGTTTGACTAGATGCACAGACAAAAAGGGAAGACTAAGATTAAAAGAAGGAAACTGAACCATTGAAGCTAGCAAAGAAATGACTGGTAAGATCATGGCTAATATTTTAGCTATACACACCATCAGTATCTCTGCTTTTTCCAAATATTTCCCGCAGACCCTTGGCGCTTCCTGTGAAGGTCAAAGATTTGCGTTTGGGTTCCTTTCGTTTGAGCGACCTGTCTGTCCCCGATGGACGGAGCTTGGCCAGAGGTGGAAGGCTCTGGCGGTATAGACCTCGTTCTGGGACACGAGCCAGCCCTTCAGAGTTTGGCCGCTCGCTGACAGACGGGCCGGTCCGCTGGAGGATGAGCTGCACGTCAGTGGCATACTGGCCCCACTTGTTCAGGGACACTACAGGGTTTTCATTTGGAGCCAGGTGGCGCTCTGTCTCCCGCCATTTCTCGATCAAAGTGTATCTGCCCGTCCGTCCTGGGACAAAACAAGAAGTAGTTGAAAGGTCCTGAGATTTTATGACAGCTTTTCACAATCAGTGGAAGGGAATCCTACACGAAGGGTTTGTTTTTCTGGGCTCTTTTCATTGCAATGGACGGGGTTCTGCTGGAAGAAGGAGATGTGATGTTAATTTACCCCTCCTTCCCTTGATGTTCAACAGGTTTCAGTTGAAACAACCTTTATATGGTGCAAGCATTTAAAAAGTTTTCAATTTGTGGGTGAAAATTAAGTTTTACTTGCAAAGTATGTATAATGCATAATACTGGAAGTTTGCCCCACTCTTCTTTAATTTGAGTCAGTTCTGTCAGGGGCTGGGTGTGTGACCCAGTGATTTCAGTTGGTTTTGATCACTTTTGTTATATTTTGAAGATCATGTGGAGTTTTGGATTATTATTAATTGGCTGTGAATTGTAGTCTGTTTCACCCTGGCCTTCTGTTCTAGTTGTTATGCATTTCCTGTCTGCGTGTTTCATGTTGTCAAGTCTGTGTTGTCTACGTCTCACCATGTTTCCTGTTTTGTTTTGAAAGTCTTGTGTTTCTTTGTTCGATGCATTTAGTTTAAATCTTCTCCTGTGACGTCGTTATTTTCATTTGTGTCAGCTGTTTCCATATGTGTTTCCGCTTCCCCTGATCACCTCCTGTGTGTATTTAGTCTGTGCGTTTCACTCAGTCGTGGTTAGGTAGACTGTTTACCCTCCCATCATGTCAGTTCCTCGTCCGGCATGATTCAGCTCAGGTCGTGTTCATGCCTCATGTTCTTGCTTCTTCATAGTTTTCTGCACGTTCCTGCTCTGAATCATATTTATGTTAGTTATGACAGTTTTGTCATAGTTATCATTTTTCAGTTTTCCCAGTGTAGGTTTTAGTTTACGCCCTTTATTCTTTATCCATGTTCAACCAGCCTGTAATAAACTGCTCGCTTTTTGTGTAAAACTTCATTTCCTCTCTTCAGTGTCTGCTTTTGGGTCTTCTTCCTCTCTTCTCATGGTCTGACAGTGCAAACCACGACAAGTTCAATGATGTTTGCAGGCATTTGTTTATGCACCGCTCTCTTAAGGTCGTGCTACAGCATTTCAGTCACCTTGAGATCTGGACTTTGACAGGCTTTGATTCTTTTCTTTTTCAGTCATTCTGTTTTAAATTAGCAACAGATTTTGCCGCAGATTTGCTGCTACGCTCAATATCATTGTCCTGAGGTATGACCCAGCCCAAGCTTTAGCTGTTGAATAGATGTCCTCACATTTCTCTAGAGTATTTTGATATACAGATGAGTTCACGCTCGAGTTGGTGATCTCATACACTTGATATGAGGTGTTTGGGTTTTCTCCAAACATGGAGCTGTGTATTATGGCCAAATATCTCCATTTTGGTCTCATCTGTCTAAGGGACAGAAGTTAAAAGTTACAGAAGTGGTTTTCTCTCGGCAGCCCTCCCAAACAAGCCTAGTTTGTTCTGTAACTTTCTAATTGTGCTGTCATGAATATTTCACATGCTAACCAAGGCCTGTGGAGTCTGAGATGTAGCTCTTAGGTTCTCGCAGCCTCTCTAAAAAAAATTGCATGGTCTGACCTTGGGGTGAATATCCTGGGATGTCCACTCCTGAGAACATTAGCATTATCCAAACGTATACCTTTATGCTCAGACCATCAAATTGCCAAATCTTATGCTTTTAAATCAGTGCTCACACTTGCGATTAATCCGTTAATCAAGTGAATTTGATTAGTAGCACCTGGCTACTACTTGCTTAACTCTTGTGGAACCAATACAACTTTTCCACAAGACTATAAGAAAGTTTGGTGCAAACTTTCTTTTTGACATGACCACACTAGCTGTGATGTCCCCAAACTAACTTGTTTAAAGATGATAAAAAAAGAAATAAAATGTTGTCTAGTCTTTCTGGAAATGTAAGTGAACATCAGTTTTCATGTTGACAATTTCTTTTCTGAAGTAAAAACAATCACAGTGTTAACACATTTAAAAAAAAAAAAACACTTTCAAATCTGGGTTCACATTACTTTAGAGGGAAAACTATTCACTTAAATTCCACAGTGAGTGATAAAGAGAGTCATTTATCTGTGCTCTCTTTAAATCTTTTACCAGATCACAGTTTTGCCTTTGTCCGTGTCATCCCTCAGCTTTAAACATTTGCTGAGTAACATCAACAAGGGCTGAGAATGATTCAGCTCACAGATATCCATTAAACACCCTTCTGTATCTGGTTGTGCGCCCTGAGATGTTTCAAAAATCACATTGCATGCTGTCAGAGTAAACACCCTGTGGAACCTGTGAAAAAAATCAATCCAGCCTTGTTAAAATGATCAAAATAAAGTTCAATGTGTTTTTGCAAAAAACGACAGACGAAACAATGACAAAAGGCTTTTTCACAGCTCTCCCACAGGCTGCACCACTGGCAGATATAAAGGACTTTACCACGGTGTCTAATGCAGTGGGAAAATTCAAGTCAACAAACAGCGTTTGTGTTAGCCAAAGAACGGGGTTCAGTGGTTCAGGGCCTTTTGTGTGTGTCTCCTGTATTTGTATCTGTACACATAAAGATAAGAGAAAACACTGCCAACTGCACAGCCAACCCCCTTCTTCCACAGTAAGGGTCCTTATAAAAAGAGGTGCATTCATCACTACAGCCATTCAGACTTCAAAGCAGCTTAGCCAGGACAAAAGGCACAGGGAACACAAAGGACTGTGCCATAACTCTTCCTCTGCTGTCACTGTGAAAGACCCCCACATTTTAACTCTAACCACTGGGGCTACTGAAAAATCAAATATTGAATGTGTTCCTCTAAAAAATGTGTACACATGACTAAATGTCATGATGCCAGTCTTAAATTCACAAATGCAAACGAAGAGGCTGAGCCTGAACTTATTTCTATCAACTGTCAACAAAGGAAAGACTGCAGTATGACTCATCGTGTTTCACAGAGTCCCGTTATGGTGAAAATCTATTTGTGCCCTCTAGTCACTTTTCATTTTCAAGCCACTTATTTCCTCAAGTGTCTGCATGTATGCGGCCTGCCAAATACTGGATGCAACCCACATAACAGAACATCCCAGCATTGATTTATGCAGGACAAAATATAATTTGCACTGCTTTTCCTGGACTTAAGCAGTAACCAATATTATTTTACTTTCTAGAGACACAGGAAGTAACATAATGTTTCTAAGCATTTGCTACCTGTGAACAGGTTATGTTGTAGTGAGTAATTTGTAGCTTACCAATGGCTTGTGCCAAAGCGATGACCACTTCCTGGCATGTGGTGAACTCCGTGACCCCGCACACAATGCGCTGCACTCCGTCCACCCACACTTTTAGCTCCATGGCCTTCATTCCTCCACACCACAGGGAGCCGCTAGAGATTCTTTATTTTGCATCCTGGAGAGCGAAAAAATAAAAAGTTCGGTAAAATAAATCATGTTTAACTGTTAAGCATCACTTAACCACTATTCACTCCTACACAAGACCCTTAAAGGTTCGACTATAAATATTTTTAGTGGTGGATCCAACCTGATATTACACGCAAAGTGTGTAATAGACAAACTTTGCTTCTCTTAGGTGTGAAATGGACGTGCATGCTTAAGTTGCAG